ATATATATATATCCAACTTTCTTTCTTTTGTGTGTTCATAGAATCTTAGTCTCTTCCTTTTATTTCGCTGGCATTTATATAACTACCTTTACTTTCTTTCATTTGTGTATTCATACAATCTTAGTGTGTCTTCCTTTTATTTAGCTGGCATTTGGTATGAAGTATATTTTTTGTTAATATAATATACTGTTTTATTTTTAAACCCAGTTTGACACTTTCTGTTTTTATTGGGAGAATACTGTCTTTTTAGTCTATTCACATTTAGTTCAAAATTGATATACTTGATTTGTATTTCTTTGATTTTCTAGTTTATTAATTTTTAAATATTTGTTGTTTCTTTTATATTCTTTATTAGTTTTACCAACCTTGCTTTTTTTTCCTTTTGTCTTTCTTTTTTTTTGTTCTGTTTTTTTTTTTTTTTTTTTTTTTTTTTTTTTTTTTTTTTTTTTTTTTTTTTTCCTTTCCTGGTCTTCATAATGAGGCATATGATTTTATTTTCTTATATGAAAACTGAGCTCCTGCATTATTCCCTTACCTCCATCAGTGAGATTTTTAGAATACATTTATTATCCCTTAATAATAAGACATTTTCCTCCTCCCTTTCACTTCTCTTTCTTTCCACCTCAGCCAAACACCCACGTTTTTGCCAATTGTATTACATTGCAGAATATCTTCATGTCAAGAATACTTATTTAGCTCTTACATTATCATTCTCAGTCTATTTTTATCCATTTTTTAAATTATTATTTTTATTTTTTGAGACAGAGTCTTGCTCTGTCACCCAGGCTGGAGTGCAGTGATGTAATCTTGACTCACTGCAACCTCCACCTCCAGGGTTCAAGCAATTCTGCTGCCTCAGCCTCCCAAGTAGCTGGATTACAGGTGCCCACCACCATACCCAGCTAATTTTTTGTATTTTTAGTAGAGATGGGGGTTCACCATGTTGACCAGGCTGGTCTCAAACTCCTGAACTCAGGTGATGTCTCCCAAAGTGCTGGGATTATACGCGTGAGCCACCGCGCTCAGCCAAGTCTATTTTTATCCATTTAAAGTTAAGTATATATAAATAGCCAGATTTCTTTTATCACTACTATTTTCTCTTCATTCCCCTATGTTGAAGTGTTGGTTCTGAGTCCTTTGTTGTATGGTTAAGAGTCCTTTCATTTGCTCAAATAACATATGCACTCACTTATTTTATTTTATTTATTTTTTATAGGTAAGATCTCATTCTCTCACTCAGGCTGGAGTGAAGTGGCACAGTTATATCCCACTGCAGCCTCAAACTCCTGGGCTCAAGCAATCCTCCTGCCTCAGCCTTCCAAGCAGCTAGTACTACAAATGCACACCACCACACCCAGCTAATTTTTAAATTTTTTGGTAGCGACCCTATGTTGCCAATGCTAGTCTGAAACTCCTGGGTTCAAGTGATCCTCCCACCTTAGCCATCAAAAATGGTGGGATTACATGCATGAGTCACCACACGTGGCCCACTCATTTATTTTATATTTTATTTTACAGTTTTGTCTTTTGGTTGACCATCCTAAGTAAGTCATTCATGCAAACCAATTATAAGCAATTCTGTGTGGTTTATAAACAGTGGCAGATGGAGAAAGTTGGAGAGTAGATAAGAAGATCATGGAGGACCCTATGTGCAGGTTTATGGAATATGGCTTTTATCCTGAATACACAGTTTTTTAAGTGCAGAAAGATTTTTGAGCATGGGAACAACAAGCTTAGATTTGCCTGCCTACAGAATGGGGAACAAAATTGGGGAGAGAGTAGGAAGGAGAATAACAATAATCTAGGTAAATGGCAATTGAAGGTGGATAATTACAGTGAACATGGAGCTGATAGGAGGTATTCAATAGTTATTTAGAGGTAATGATAGCTCATATGCTTAGCATTATCTGGTACTTTAATAGTTTCCTTTCTTGGGGTATTTAATAAGGGAATGGACAGAAACTAAAGCTTAAAAGTTAAGAATGGTGCTCAATTTAATAAGAGAGAAAGTTTACACTTATAAAACTTGCTCAAAATGTAGAAGGCTGGTGTAGAGATTATGAGAAATTTGTTAAATTTGTTACTTATGACCAGAAATTGTCTATATTGTTCGTATTTAACATTTCTTGGATATTTATAAAGGTTTTATTACTTCTTCAGGTGCTGAGAGCACTTTTTAAAAAGTAATGATTAGTTCCTATTTTCAGGAGCCCAGAGAACAATAATACACTGTAATTTTTAGATGTATTCCATTCTAAGTAAAACTACAGATATCATTAAGAAGAATATATTACACAAATCTCTCATCAACTATAATTTGGAGTCCTTAGGTAACTATTTTGGGGAATCTTACTTGTTTCAGTCAACACATCTGAAAAATGTACTTAACCAGCCAAGTAGACCCACTTTGTTTTCTTATGATCATGCTCCTGACTCTTTAGCTTACCAGGGCTTCAAGTAAGTGTTCCACATCTAATCATTTTAGAGCTAGCCCAGACACGTCTTCATCTATGTGTTGTATATTCTTGATTTTCTGTAGATTACTTTAGTCTTTGGGAGAGGTAAAAACAAAAAACTGTTCCTTTATTTTACGTTTATAGTTTTCTCTCTGTACCTTCTGAAATCTCTAACCTACCCATCTTTTACGGCATTTTCAATTACCAAATTTATCTCATACTCCTCCTAGTGGTCATTTAGTAAATCTCTAGTGATTAACTTTAACATGATGTGCCCTTTAGTCTTTTTAAAAGTCATCCTTTTCTAAACTGATCTAACAGTACTATTATTACTTTTGTAATATTTGGCAAAATTATTATAATAAATCCATTAAAATTTAATTTACTTTTATAAACTTCAAAAACAAATATGCATAAATAATTGTTTAGAAATACAGATATGTGGGATAAAGCAACAGAATGACAAACATAAAATTCCCTCAGGTTTGATAGGGCAAGGACTGAAGATAAGGGAGGATATATAAGTAGATGTAGTTTATTTGTAATGATCTAGGTTTCTTTTATGCCAACAAGAATAGTATGATGAACAACATGTACCCATCAGTGAGCTTCAACAATTATCAACATTTTGCTTTTTTTCTAATCTATTCTCTTACCACTTTTTCCCCTAGCATATTTTATAGCAAATTCCAGAAAATGTGCCATTTCATAAATGCTTATGTATGTATCTCTAACTAATAAAGACATTTCTGCCTTTATCTAAGCACCGTGCTATTATCACAAATAACATAATTAATAGTAATACGTGGTCCATAGTCACAATGTCTTGATGATCTCAAAAATGTGTTTTTACAGACATTTGTCTGTAAAATATCCTAACTAGAATCCAAATAAGATTTCTATGTTGTATTTGAATATTATATTCTTGTCTCTTTTATTCTTTAAAAGTCGCTTCCTTTCCTTTCCACCCCTTTTCTAATATTTTTTTTTAGAGACAGGGTCTCACTGTGTTGTCCAGTTTGGAGTGCAGTGGCTATTCACAGGTGTGATTATGACACACTGAAGCCTGGAACTCCTGGCTTCAAGCTGTCCTCCTGCTTCAACACCCTGCATCCTCCATAAGTACTCCAGTACCTGCACTTGGCTCTCTTCCCTTTTTCATGCCATTGGTTTGTTGGAAAAACTGTTTTACCTGTCCTAGAGAATATATCTACATTCTGGACTTCAAATTACTTCAATCTGGATATATTTAACTTGTTCCTCTATTCCTCCTATTTTCTATAAACTGATAGTTATATTTCTAAGGGCAGGCTGGACTATATATTCTTTGGGGTTTGATAAGAATTAAATTCTTTGGGGTTTTTGGCAAGAGTATTTTATGGATGGTGCTGTGTACTTTCATATTACCTCATTAAGCACATAATGTCTGCTTATCTCACTTACTTTTAATTATGCTAAAATTAATTAGTGGGTTTAGTGTAAGAGGTGTTGCTTAATCTGCATAGGGAGGTGCTACATTAAGAAAATGCCAGATTTAAAAAAATTAAACTTACAAAGCAATAAGAAAGAGGAGGAGGAGGGCGGATGCGGTAGCTCACACCTGTAATCACAACACTTTGGGAGACTGAGGTGGGTGATCACTTGAGGTCAAGAGTTTAAGATCAGCCTGACCGGCCGGGCACGGTGGCTCACGCCTGTAATCCCAGCACTTTGGGAGGCCGAGGCGGGTGGATCACGAGGTCCAGAGATCGAGACCATCCTGGTCAACATGGTGAAACCCCGTCTCTACTAAAAATACAAAAAATTAGCTGGGCATGGTGGCATGTGCCTGTAATCCCAGCTACTCAGGAGGCTGAGGCAGGAGAATTGCCTGAACCCAGGAGGCAGAGGTTGCGGTGAGCCAAGATCGCGCCATTGCACTCCAGCCTGGGTAACAAGAGTGAAACTCCGTCTCAAAAAAAAAAGATCAGCCTGACCAACATGGTAAAACCTCATCTCTTCTAAAAATACAAAATTTTATCTGGGCGTGGTGGTCCACACCTGTAGTCCCAGTTACTCTGGAGGCTGAGGCAAGAGAATCACTTGAAACCGGGAGGTAGAGGTTGCAGTGAGCTGAGATTGCGACACTGCACTCCAGCCTGGGCAACGGAGTGAGACTCTCTCAAAAAAAAAAAAAGAAAAAAAGAAGAAGAGGAATAGAAAATATGATTCAAGGCTCTGTTTCCTTATAGAATATATTGGTTTGGTTATATTCTAATTGAATCTCAATTGCTCATTACAGGCCAGTGAAACAAATCTTTACTGGCCCAAGGTGAGTACCTCCTCTCTTCCCTTTCCTCAATGATAGCAGCTTTGAGATTTCAGCCTATCTTCAGCTGTATTTTTTACTACACTCTTTTTGGATCCAGGGTAGTAAATTTAGGTCCTTTATAGGTGACTTGAAGTATAACATAGAAGGAGAAACAGAGTATCAAGATTTCAAAGGCCCTCCCAACTGAATTCCTATGGTAAATTTTCAGTAATAATAATTAACTTTTTAAACAGGGTTCAACTCCACCAGTAACTGTTTTCAAAGGTTCAAAAAAACCTTACTTAAAAGAATGCATTTTGATTATTAACCATGATACTGGAGAATGTCGACTAGAAAAACTCAGCAGCAACATCACTGTAAAAAAAACAAGGTATGTGGTTTAATGAAATAAATTATATTATAAACATAAATTTCTAAGGAAATGTCAAGAAAAATTGACTGTATTTAGTGACATTATTATACAAGGGGCTTATTTCTGTGTGGTACAAAAATGTTTTAATCTTTTTCTAAGTTTAAATTTGGTGGAGATCCTAAGCCAAAAGCTTTTTACCACATCACCCTGTGATATATAAAAGCTTGTTTTGCTTCTAAATGTTTTCCATAGGTATAGATATACTTTTTATTCTGTTGTAGATAATTCCATATAGCTGGATTAAAAGGAACCATTGTACATTCTCTAAAATAATTTCATCTTCATTAGTAAAAATTTATCGAATACTTATGATGTGTAAGGTACTAGAAAAAGGAAAGTTTGCTATGTAAACACCTCAAAACTTCTGCATTTTAATCAGATAAACAGACTATTCCATTTAAAAAGTCAATAGGAGAATATACTCATCTCAAATCCTTTTTGGAAACAAGTAACACATTAGTTGCCGTGTAATATAAGGATATTTGCTCTAAAAGCCATGCAAATAGTATAGACAAAAGTTGCTCTAGGAATTAAGAAAAAGGAGAAGTAATGGTAGATTGGAACATTCAGGGAGACATTTTCGATATACCTTAAGAGGAGGTTGGGATCATAAGAATTACCTTGGGTGCTTGTTAAAAATTAATTCCCGAATCTAACCTTAAATCAGGGAAGGATCCTGGGAAACTCTATTTTTTAATATCCCCTCACCTCTACCACTCATGCCCTGCTGTGATTCATACTAGAAGAAAGTTTGTGAAATACCAATTTAATTGACTAGAAAGGAGACGACGATGTAAGCCAAGTTTGAAGGCAGAAATATATCTGACTTATTCGGGGCCAGTGAGTAAGATCTATTTGAACAGAGCAGAGGTTTATCTCTGTACCTGTGTACATGTTTTGGAAAGTAGGGGGCGATGTTGATATTGGGCTAGAGGTAAGGTTGTAATTTTGTTGGTTGAGGTTAATGCCATCCATATTAACTAAGAAATTAGGACATTATCTTGCTGGTAGTGGTTACATATTAAAGTCTTTTTAACCAGGGATTGGCATGTTTATAGTTTGTTTTAAAACATTAATTCAGTAGAGAAACTGAATACATGAAAACAATGTAGGAACCAGAATAACGTATAAACCAGGAGTTTTAAGAGCAGGAATGAAGAGAAAAATAAGAGCCGAAAGACTTTTTGAAGGAAGAACTGATAGGATTTGGTGACTGGAAATGGGAGAGGCAAAAATCAAGCATACTTTTGTTATATACTCTTCTTAAAGATATTGAGAGAAAAGTATATGAATCTCCTTTATTATGCCTATCTTATGAATGGAAAACGTAGAAGTGATTTGGTTTTAACAGAAATGATAATCTTAGAACTTAGGGAATATATTGTACCTGTTATACACTTAATGTTTTTCCTTTTATTTTAGTCATTTGTGAATGTCTTATCTGTTCAATTTAAGCAATGGCTTTTTTTTTTTCAGTTGTTTTATTTATTTATTTATTTATTTTTTTTTTTGAGACAGAGTTTCGCTCTTGTTACCCAGGCTGGAGTGCAATGGCGCGATCTCGGCTCACCGCAACCTCCGCCTCCTGGGTTCAGGCAATTCTCCTGCCTCAGCCTCCTGAGTAGCTGGGATTACAGGCACGCGCCACCATGCCCAGCTAACTTTTTGTATTTTTAGTAGAGACGGGGTTTCACCATGTTAACCAGGATGGTCTCGATCTCTTGACCTCGTGATCCACCCCGCCTCGGCCTCCCAAAGTGTTGGGATTACAGGCTTGAGCCACCGCGCCCGGCATTGTTTTATTTATTTTTAAATAGATATAGGGTCTTGCTACATTGCCCAGGCTGGTCATGAACTCCTGGCCTCAAGCCATTCTCCTTACTCGGCCTCCCAAAGTGCTGGGATTACAGGCATGAGCCACTGTACCAGCCCGGATTTTTGTTTTTGTTTTTTGAGACAGGGTCTTGCTCTGTCACCCAGGCTGGAGTACAGTGGTGCAATCATAGCTTACTGCAGCTTCAAACTGCTGGGCTCAAACGATCCTCCCACAACCTCCTAAGTAGCTGGGATTACAGGTGTGCATCATTATGCCCAGCTAATATTTTTATTTTTATTTTTCTGTACAGACAGGGTCTCACTGTATTGACCAGGCTGGTCTTGAATCCCTGGGGTCAAGTAATCCTTCTACTTCAGCCTTCCAACATGCTAGGATTACAGGCATGAGCCACCAAGCCTGGCACGGGTTTTGTTTTTGTTTTTATTTGTATCCCTCAATGGACATGTGTATCACAGAAATAGAACCTGACAAATACTTGTTAAATGATGAACTAAATTAATGTTTTAATTCTGGAATATTATTATAAAGATGTTTAGGAAAAGAATAAGTGGTCAATTTTAGTAACTTTGTAAGTTGAAATTTTTGTTACATTGCTGTCATACCTGTTTTAATATTTCATATTCTTAATTGCAGAGTTGAAGGAAGCAGTAAAATTCAGTATCGCAAAGAACAACAGCAACAACAAATGTGGAATTCAGCCAGGACTCCCAATCTTGTAAAACATTCTCCATCTGAAGATAAGATGTCCCCAGCATCTCCAATAGATGATATTGAAAGAGGTAAAATCTAACTATATGTGACAACCCTTTATAAGAGATAATTAAGAAATGTTAAGGCCAGGCACGGTGGCTCACACCTGTAATCCCAGCACTTTGGGAGTCCAAGGCAGGCAGATCATGAGGTCAGGAGTTCGAGACCAGCCTGGCCAATATTGTGAAACTTCGTCTCTGCTAAAAATACAAAAATTAGCTGGGCATGGTGGTATATGCTTGTAGTCCCAGCTACTCGGGAGGCTGAAGAAGAACAATCACTTGAACCCAGGAGGCAGAGGTTGCAGTAAGCTGAGATCACACCACTGCACTCCAGCATGGGTAACAGAGTAACAGAGTAAGACTCCATCTCCAAAAAAGAAAAGAAATCTTAAGTGAATTTTTTCATTTTAATTAACTGGTATTAATTATAAACTTTTACTGAGAGTATAATATTTTTTGTAATTATGCATTTTTCTGGGGTAAGGATATAGCTTACGATTTTTAGTTTTATGTAAGCAATATCCATATAAGATAATTTGTATCATTGAAAATTACTATTCAGGGTAAAAAAATGACTGTTTAGATGTTTATAACTGGAGTTTTCTTCTTTTTGGCAATTGTGATGACTCAAATTCAATTCCTCACAGCATCTTCCTGTCAAAATTTTTTATGTCTGGCCAGACTGTAGATGTCTAAGATGTCATCAATTCCATAGGGAAATAAGGAGATGTAGTAAGCAGAATATGCAGGCAACTTTTTCTGAATTGCTACTTACTTCTTAGCAGGGAGGTATTTTTAGGGAGGTACAGTCCTTTTGAAAAATAAGAAAACTTAAATCTCCATTTTTTTTCTAGCTGCAGTGTGGATATTAATGTTGTAGTAATTGTGGCTGCAGTGAGACCCTGGTCACTAAAGTATATTTGCTTCTTCGATTTGCCTTCTTAAAATTTGCACATAGCTGTCCAATTTCATTGTTCCTTTCTAAGCCCAAAGCCCAGTATAGTATTCATTCTCTAATGGATTAGTAGCTCATATACATAAAATAAGAAAGACAAGTCCAGAACCCTTGGCGGTACAAGGGGTTTTAAATGTTATTTTTTTTTACATCATGCCTGCCTTCAAATGGATTTAAATTATGATGTCTTTACATAAATGAATATAAAATATTGGTACAGAAAATTAAGATATTGAAGAGGAAGAGGAAGCAAATTTGCTAATCATTAACACATTAAATTGCCAGGTGTGGTGCTGCACACCTATAATCCCAGCAGTTTGGGAGGACAAGGTGATGGATCACTTGAGTTCAGGAGTTTGAGACCAGCCTGGGCAACATGGTAAAAACCCATCTCTACAAAAAATACAAAATTAGCCGGGTGTAGTGGTGCATGCCTATAGTCCCAGCTACTTGGGAGGCCAAGGTGGGAGGATCACTTGAGCATGGGGAGGTCAAGCCTGCAGTGAACCATGATTGTACCACTGCCTCCAGCCTGGATGACAGAGACCCTGTCTCAAAAAAAAAAAAATTAAAAAAAAATTTTTTTTATTTAGCTCTGAGCTTCTAGCCATCAAGACGAAAAAAGGGAGACACAGCAGCATATGTTGTATTATCTCATAGGTTACAAAGAATCAGACTTTTCCCCGTTACTAAATTCTGAAAGGAATTCATCATATGGAACCCTTTTCTAGGGAGCATTAAACTTTATATAGTGTCCTCAACAATAATTTTACAGTACAAGTAGAAGTTCTTCCATGTGGCATTTTTTAACAGAGGCCTTAATAAAAACATTGCATGAAGCATAACTCAGAGAAAAGCACAGTGGCTCATGCCTGTAATTCTAGCACTTTGCGGGGGCCAAGGTGGGAGGATCATTTGAGCCCAGGAGTTCAAGAACAGCCTAGGCAACATGGCGAAACCTCATCTCAATTAAAAAATTGCAAAAATTAAAAATTAAAAAAAAATAGAAAGTTGTAGGGGATAAGTTAACATGATCTCCAAGCATAAAGCTTTCTATTTCTAACTTAGTATGAGAATTGAACTTCATTTACCTTGACATATTTGTATAACATGTTCCATAGATTACATTCTATAAAATACTTTCTTTACCCTACTGTGCCACTGACTACTGTTACAATGGTTGAATTATCTTTTCAAGTTTATGTCTGGCAGTTGTACTAGTATTTTTATAGCTTAATTTTTATATTTACATCTTTGAACTATCTAGAATTGAATTTGGGAGATAAGAAAGAGGCCAGGTGCAGTGGCTCGTGCGTGTAATCCCAGCACTTTGGGAGGCTGAGGTGGAAGGATCATTTGAGGCCAGGAGTTTAAGATAGCAAGACCCCATTTATACAGAAAAAAAAATTTTTTTTAAAGAAATTATATGGATCTAGAAATCCACTCCCCTACCTGGAGACAACTCACAGCTGGGAGTACCAGCAAATAGGATGATACCACAATGAGTGGTTGCAGTCCTTGAAGTGTTCTCCCTGTATGCCTGGCCTGAGACTCCCCTCCTTCATCAGAGACACTGTATGGCCAGAAGGTCCCTGCAAGTAGAATTCCATTATGATAAGCATTCAGCCTGGGAAGGCTATTCATATCACTCTACCTCCCCGACCTGCCCCCTTGGCCTATTAACTTAAGATTCTTCTCTCTCATCTAAAGACATCTTGAGACTGGATGGCACCAATAAGGGGGAATTCTGCCACAACAAACACTTTGCTAGGAAGCACTTTCCTTTCCTCCACCCCTCCAAGCAGGGGAGCCAATCACAAAAAAATTGCCTGGCTCAGGAAACACTCTTCATCCCAAGCAAGAGACTCCCTTTCCCCATTTATATGCACCACATTTCCTTGCCTGGTGAAGTCACTTCTTTCCTTTATGTAGCACCAGCAGGGATCCTTGGGGATGCCAGCTGCTAGAAATTTACTTAAGAAGACCAAGACAATACTGCAAAAGCTTTGAAAACATGATCGTCATTTAAACCACAACCTACAACTTTAGGCAAGAATATGCATGCTAAATCTAAACAGAGTGATTGCCTACTAAAATTAAAAATTTGAGTAAGATATAGATCTCCCATAGCATAAAAACCAAGATATCCAAGATACAATAGAAAATTGCCTGTCGTGGCCAGGTTCGGTGCCTTACATCTGTAATCCCAGCACTTTGGGAGGCCAAGGTGAGCAGATCAATTGAGGTAGGAGTTTGAGACCAACCTGGCCAACATGGTGAAAGCCCATCTCTCTAAAATACAAAAATTAGCTGAGTGTGGTGGTGAGTGCCTGTAATTCCAGCTACTCGGGAGGCTGAAGCAGGAAAATCGCTTGAATCCAGGAGGTGGAGGTTGCAGTGAGCCGAGATCATGACTCCAGCCTGGGCAACAGAGCAAGACTCCATCTCAANAAAAAAAAAAAAAAAAAAGAAACAAAAGAAAATGACCTGTCGTACCATAATTTGTGATTCAGGAGAATCACATGAATGAGAAAAGATAATCAACTGATACCAACACCAAGATGAATCAAATGTTAGAATTATCTGACAGTGATCTTTAAATTACTATCATGAATATGGTTCAGTTATAAATTCCCTTTAAATTAATTTAAAAAAACATAGAAAATCACATTAGAGAAATAGAATTTTTAAATATGAATCAAATGGAAATTATAGAACTGATAAATAGAATAACAACAAAAGTACTCACTGGATAGGCTCATTGCTAGGGAGTGGATAGAATCAGTTTACTTGAGGATGTATATTATCCCCTCAACCTGAAAATAGAAAATAGACTGAAACAAGATGCGCATATCCCCAAGAATCTGTAGAAAAATGACAAAATATCCAATATTTGTGTCATTGGAGTCTCAAAGAAGAGGGAGAGCAGGTTTAAAAGAGCATTTAAAGAAATATGCACAAAAACCTCCCAAGTTTTATGAAAGACATAAACCCACGGATGTGAAAACCTGAACAAACCCCAAATAGGATAAACCCCGAGAAACTGATACTAAGGTACATCATAATGAAACACCTGAAAACTAAAGGCAAAGAGAAAAGTGTTGAAATCAAGAAAGAAATGACATATTACCTATGAAAGAATACCATTCAGTTAACATCAGATTTCTCATCTGAAGCCATGGAGCCCAGAAGAAAGTGGCATAATATTTTTCAAGTGCTAAAAGAAATAAAAATGTTAAGCATGAATTCTGTATCTACCAAAATGATTCTTTAGTAATGAGGGGCAAATAGTCTGCTTCAGAAAGGAAAACTGAAAGAATTTGTTCCTAGGAAACTATCCTTAATTATTGGATGTATAAGGTCATTCAGACAGAAGAGAAACGTTAATTGAGAGTATCAGGAAGACAGAAACAACAACAGAAAGAGGAAATATATCAATAAGTACAATTGATTATGATTTTCCTCATGACTTTTCTAAATCATATGTGATAACTGAAACAAAAATGATAATACCTTCTGATACTCAAAATAATATTTCAAAGTGGACCTACATGGATATGAGGTTTACTTGAAATGGTAATGCATTGACAAGTCAGGCATATATATTGAAAAACCCAAAGCAACCACTAAGAAAAATATACAAAATGACATATTTTAAAACTCTGTAAGTTAATTGAGATAGCATTCTAAAATGGTTCAAGTAACCCACAGAAAGGCAAGATGAGAGAAACAGAGAAATGAAATACAGAGGAAGCAAACAGAAAACAAATAACAAATTGACACACTTAAGCCCGAACATATATCAATAATTACTTTAAATATATGTTGTCTAAGCCAGTTAAAAGGCAAATGTTGGCAGACTGTATAAAAAGCACACTCAACTATATGCTGTTTATAAGACACTAATGAAATATGTAGCTTGAAAGTAAAAGTATAGAAAATATATACCATGTAAACATTAATTTTAAAAAGCACATGTGGCTGTATTCATACCAGATAAAGTTGACTTAAAAGCAAAATGGGCCAGACACAGTATCTCACACATGTAATCCCAGCACTTTGGGAGGCCAAGACAGGCAGATCACCTGAGGTCAGGAGTTTGTGACCAGCCTGGACAACATGGTGAAACCCCGTCTCTACTAAAAATACAAA